ATATATATATATATATAATTATGAATTTTGAATAAGTACAATTGAATGTCATTAATATGGTCATACTCACTCATTAATAGATACACAAAAATTGCAATCAATTTATCGATGTGACGAAAATTATTTCATTAATTATTTTTCTTGTTGGTGAGTTTGTCATGTGACAAAAGTAAACAACAATGTACTAGGAAGTAGAATTTGGTAAATGAAAAAGCTAAGCCTCCGTGAATGATTCCATTATCGTGACCAAGTTCAAGATGGGACCCTAATGGCAAAACCAAGACAGAGTGCATAATATAGCCACAGGCGTTTGGTGAACATGGCCTCCAAACTCGTCAAGGTTCATGTTCCCAAACCAACGGCTCTCTACTTCCATATCTTATTGAATTTTAAGCTTTGTTTTTCTTTTACAAATCCTTTAATAATTTTGGGACGTAGAAAAAAAAATAAAGAAACGAAGAAAGAAAAAGATGGAGCCCACTATTCGTAAATATGTTTAATTTCTTTTTTGGCGGCTGGAAATGGTTGTTAATATGTAGAAGTAGATGATTGTGTTTTGTTTTTAAGGATATATATATATATATATATATATATATATTAATTATATTGTTGGAGTATAAATCAAGTTTCACATTATTGGATTACGAGGAGAAATAAAAAATTTATAAAATACATATAGTCTCAATTGATATGAGACCTTTTGAGAGATTATCAAAAGAAAAATCATGAGACTTTAGGTGGAGACATGTGTGTAAATGAATCCTAAGTACACAACAATGGTATCAGAGCCATTTTGAGAGATTACCAAAAGCAAAAAATCATGTGAGTTTGTATCCAAAGTGAACAATATCATACCAATGTGGAGACATATCCAATTGGTATTATGCCTTTTGAAAGATTATCAAAAGCAAAATCATGAGAATTTAGGCTCAAAGTGAATAACACCATATCAATTTATATATATATATATATATATATATATCTGTGTGTGCGTGTGTGTGTGTGTTGCAATGACAATGCAAGTAAGACTACCATTGAATACTTGTGGATAAAAAAGAGTGTGTGTATGAAGGACATGTGTCGTTGATTTGCAATGACAATGCAAGTAAGACCAGTAAGACTACCATTGAATACTTGTGGATAAAAAAAAAAAGACTTCTACTTGAAGGGGAGCTTGACCATGTGGAAGGGGTTTATACTTGAGGGATAATATTTAAATTCAAGTGTGATCAGAACCAATAGTTGACTAGATGATTAGTTTAGAGTCGATCATATGAGTACATGGCAATGGGAGGCGATGGATTTAAGTGTGAGATCCCTTATATCTAAAGTCTTCTTACACAACATGTCCCATTAATGTGAGTTAATGACAGTGCAAGTATCTAGAGGTTACAAGTGTGACTAAAGCTCTAATGACCATCATTAAATACTTGTAGATGAAAAAAAATGTTTCCATTGAAAAGAGGTTAAACCATGATTATTTATTTAAAGAGAGGTTTGTTGAAATACAAACAAAGCCTCACATTATTGAACTATGAGGAGAAATAAAAAATTTATAAAATACATATAATAGTATAAAACCTTTTGAGAAATTATCAAAAATACAACTAAAAAAATTTAAATAAAAAAATAATATCATATCAATATAAAAGTATATGTGTATGAAATTCAAGTACACATTGTATATAAAAAGAGTGGACCCATTTACAAACACCAAATAAGACATATTACCTTGGAACACAATAATTATATTTTATTTATCCTTGTTAGAGTCTATGGTGGAAATGGAGTTTAGTGATGTTTGGCGTTAGGGAAGATAAGAGAAAGGTAGCGGGGAGCATCTAGCATGTTCTGATACACAAAGCATTCACGAAACGGACAAATAAAACGGCGTCGATGTGTCGCAAATTGGTGATTTCATGCGGAGGGGTGTGCA